TTGCGCCCGGTGCGCCCGGCCCCCCCTGCACCCCCCACGCTATGCCACTGGTGACTGGAGAAAGCCTACCTGCAGTTTCTCAGTTCCCAGGAAAAACAAAACCTAGATGGTTGTGGTGATCCCAGCTCTCCTACTAGCTTCAAGCCTCATAACGGAGTTGTGACAGTATTAGCTGGCACTTAGAGCTAGTTGCGATGTTTTACCCACTCGCAGTATGGATGCAAAACGATGGCTCTATGAACGCTGGCTCAGATGGAAAGGGAAACTATGATTAATTGAAGACTTCCTGGCTTATCACAGTGCATCAAGGAGAGAGGTGGTAGTATAAGGATGGAGCATAGGGATGGGTGAACCTGTCGGTTTTGTTTTATCTCCAGTTAGCCATTTTCCCAGTGTTAAATTCAGTTCTCCACATCTCTGCAGCAACCTGCAATTTCTTTTTTTAAAAATCATCATGAAAATTAATCAGCATTTCTATGCGAATTTCTCATAACATGTTTTTGTATGCTGTTTAGACAGTCACTGACATTTTTGCAAGCATTTTCCCCAATACAATGCATTTCAGCATGCTATTTTCACTAATATTTGCAAATGAAGCAAAATTTTCCCCAATGTGTATTTTATTTTGCCTAACATGTGCATCTTAATGCACACTCTCCACTAACACGTGCCTTTTTGTATGCTTTTTCTTCAGTTGGAGAACTGCATTGAAAAATTCAGAGAAACATGAATTTTGAGGGATACCTGTGTTTCAGACCATGTACTGTTTGGGGAAGTAGGGATTAGGTAGGTTTGTACTAAAATAGAAACCGAGCCCAATTTCTCCCCCCTCCCAAGGAAGAAGCCAGGGTTTCTAGTACTTGCACTGAATTTGTGGTCTACGTGCATGTGCATGTGGCCTGTCACCAGGGAGTTTCTTTCATCCATCTGGTTCTCTGAAAACAGAAAGCTTTTGTGAGAATTTGTAATCCTCTGGAGTTAAAAAGTAGAACTGGAAAGAGTAATGGCCCATTGCTTTATGAAAACCACTTCATTGCCCTCTCCCCGAATAGTTTTTATTCCATGGAAAGGGAAATAAGAACATGACTGTGAAGTGAACATAAGCATGCAGCCTGAATGGTGCGTAGTGCTTTAGTCTCTCTTTTTTGCTGAGTAAAATAGCTGATTAGTGCTGAGTGACATGGTGTCAAGGACTAGGCTGAGGAGGAATGGTGAAGACTGCCTCCCCAAGCCTGACCCTTTCAGAGAAGAAGAAGGCAGTTCAGAATTACAACAGGGGTTTGAGGGAGGTCACAGCTCAGAGGAAGCTGAGGGGGAAAGTTGGGAAATAATGGGAGAGGAGGCAGAGCTGAAGCAGCTAGCTGACACATTATCACTAGAAAGCGTTCCAGACCCACCATCTCCCAGAACCTGGTGAGCCTTAAAAGTAGAATGAGGAAGAAAAGGGGGGGGGGGTTGGAGATTTATTCGGGACAACGCCAAGAGGCTACATTCTCAAGCCTCTCTCTGTAAATATAGAATAAAAAGCAGATGGTAAGGGCTTTTTCTTGTCTTATCTGTTCCTGGCAACCTGCTGTGGGGCTTGGTTCCTCTGCCACCTGTCACATGGGTGTGTAAAATTTAATGGTGTTTAGAGACTCAGCAGTACAAAAGAGAGAGGTGGCAACTGAAGTCAAATTCAAACAAACCAAAACACACTGTTAAGCAAAGGGAAGCATAGGGACAAAGGAACCCAACTTTTTTTACCTAAGTGTCCAGCTGTACTGTGGAATATGATCTGAAGACCCCGACACCTTCTGCATCACATTTACTGAAACCAAGAGTCAAACATTGAAGCAATAATGCAAAACAAGGAAGAAGGCTAGCTGACAAGGTGCGTTCGCACTCTAAGCCACTCTGATAAATTCTGTGTTTGCCTTTCAGTTTGTGTTCATCAACAGGTAAGTTTTAATACACTGTGCTCATCATAGTAAACATACTGGTTCTGAAAATAATTTGATTCGTTTCTTCACTGTGCACACAATTTCTCGCTGATGGGAGAAAAGGCCACACATGGCAAAATAATAAATGGAAGCTGACAAGTTTGATTGTAATAATCACCTTTGTTAAATGTTTTCACCAGAGGTTTGGCAGTTTCCAGTAAAAAAGCAACCCTGCCTGATGTCGTTACCATAAATGAAAGCTGAGAAATTAAAATCTATAATCTGGGCTGATTGGATAAGGCCTCTTGTGACTTATATGAAGCTTAACTTGGCCTGTAATGCACTGTTAAATTAATGTCTCCAATGTCAACTAATAAATTATACCTCATTGTACTGAGATGGATTGGAAAGTTATTTAGAGCAGCTTCTGATGTTAACGCTTCTCCACTTCAGTTTTGAAAAGAGAAGCTGCCACAAAATGGTTGAAAGTATCTTCCAGGCAGTGCTTGAAAAGGCCAAAGAGATGAAGTCGGATCAAACACCCAGGAACTCAGAAAGATAAACAGGACCAGTCCAAGAAATGTGGTGAATAATAAAATGGTGTCTGTCCCCATTCCACCTATGCAAGCAGACTAGTGGAAGCTGAATTTCACTTCAACACTAGCAATATGGGATAGTGTCTTTCACCAGGCTAGTTTAAGCAGGCCCAGCACAGTCTGTGTGGCATACACAGCTCCATCCTCCAAGAGAAAGGAGTGGCTGGGGTTCAGAAAGAACAGCCAGGGAGATGCTGCCACTGCCTCTCAGCATCCGTCGCCTGAGGCGGCTGCCTCATTCTGCCTAACGACAGAGCTGGCCTTGAAGATAATGGACACACTCATTCCTGACCTTTCCAGTATTACAAAGATGTGTGGCTTTGTCCATAGTCTGGCTCTGTTTCTGCACACATTTTTAAAAATAGAAATTGGGAAATGTAATATCTGAAGCACCACTCATTCTTTCTAAAATCAATTTGTGAAAATGGATGGTAATGGTGTTAGGCTCGATTTGGCTGCTTTTATCCATGCTAGTAAATACAGCTTGAGCTCTGCAAGCACAGATATCTTTCTGGCTGTCATTCTAAATCATCCCTCCCTCGGTCCAAAGCTAGGGGAGCTCTCACCTCTCTGCATGGTCATATCTGTGGTTTGGCTTTCTCTCTGCTGTAGTGCTAGCTGTTATTATTCCCTGAATTCTGATGGAGAGACATACAGATATCAGACATTCACACTTTCCTAATCATCAGGTATCCTGGAAAATGCATACTGAACATAAATTTCCATCTGTTGTGGAAATATTCTAAGGTAGATTTGGGGTATCTCTTTGGCCCTTGGAATTCTCTCAGGTCATGCACCATCCCAAGCCAAAACATACAAGAAGACTTTGCTATAGCCTTTGAAATAGCTGTTTTCATCCTGGACTTTCTTTGCATTAGGACACAATGCCTTTACCTCAAAATTCTTAAGCTCCTGAGAGCTCTTATTTCAGAAATAAATTATTCAGTCCCCAACAAAGCAACAGTTGATTAAGTCAAAAACTAGATGTGGGGGGATGTTGTATTGCTTTGCAAACAGTTGTTTTTATTATTGAAAATAGCTATGTTAAAGTAACACAGCATTCCAAACTTAGGGTTACAATACTGTTATGAATGTGTGTGTGTGTATGGGGACGGGGTAGAATTTAGCTGGTTTTGGAGTCTGAAAAGAAGATGCCAGGCCAGTGAAAAATACGGACTGAACCAGTTCTTCTGTTCAGGAGATTGCTGATAGCAATTGCCATAAGAACAAAGTACTGGGCTATTGAGAACAATTGACCATGCAGATGTTGTCCTTCCCCTGTGGAGAAGTGGACAGAAATAGGAGAACTGAGAGAGGAAGGTTGCCGGGGTAACAGGGGGCATGATGTCACTGCAGGAAAAGAAGGTGTCCTTTTACAACGAGGTTTTGGGAGCAGGGATTTTCTGGGAAGAAGGAGCAGGAAGTGGGTATAACTTCATGCAGGGACTGAAGGACAGCAGCAGCGATGTTGGCTGGCTGGAGCAGCCTGATAAGACACAGGGATTGCGCATTCTTGAGATGTAAATGCTGTCTCTCTCCATCAAAACCCAGGTTGTAAATATGCATAAAATAAACCATAGTGTCTTAAAGACACCGGTGTCTGCTGTGCCTCATTCCAAAGGAGCACAAACACTGGGTAAGTGCCAAGCCCTGTGGAACCTCTTGCCACTGCTTGGCAGAGATTGGAGTGGCCTGCAGCAACACCAAATTGGACTGATAAAATTAAACCATGCCTTTAAAAGTGCCATTGTCTTTTCTGTTACATCTGAATGTTTAAATAATTAAACATGATGCGCCTCAAGCCAGTGAAGCCCAGATGAAGTTGTAAGGAAGGTTCCTGCTCATGCCAGCACACCAAACTGATGTGTCACAGACAAAAGAAGAGAAAATTATTGGCAGATGAGATGCAAAGCCTTTCAAGGTCTATTTCTCCCTTGATCCACACATACACAACTGTTGTCGACTGTAATAAAAGCTTCATGCCTGCAGATTTGTCTGTTTCATGGGTCATAATGAGGGAATGAGAAAAGAATTAGTGGGGAGAAAGATCTGCCAGTGTTGTGTGGCTTTTGACGAATGAATACAATCCTGGAGAGCATATCCATTTCTACGGTGAGCAGAAGAAAACCATGAGCATTTGATAGGGATGGGGTAGGAAAAAAATTCAATTCAGTTTGCATTTTAAGGTGAGGCTACACAATTTGAACTTTCCAAAACAACCCTCAAACCAAAGGACTGCTAGCCTTCAAAATTTGCCCATCTCTGATGTTTGCAATGCTGCTCTCCAGCCAAACAACGTGGACAAATATTAATATACATGGGTACAGTGCACATAAAAATGCAAGTGTCGATGAAAATAACATACAATATGCATTGCATTTCGGACCATTGTATTTGAAAAAAATGGGTATATTAGGCAAAATTGCATACCAATGTGTGTGTATTAGGAGAAATGGGCACTAAAATGCTGATTAATTTTCAGGCAGACTTTGATGCACCTCAGTGTGGAGAATTGAGCTTAAGGCTGGAAAAATGAAGAGACAAACTGAAATTGACAGATTCCCCCATCTAAACATACAGCATAGAATGGCAAGAAAGAAAACAACCCCTGAACCACATCCTGAATGGTAAGTGTTGCTTGTGATGCTACCCATCTGCCCTCCTGATCTCAAGCAGAATCCCACAGGGCACAAAGGGGCAATGGAGACCAGAGTTGCAAAACCTCAGAGGGCTCAGGTTAGCAACCCTGGCCCATTAAGGTGATGCTGCCATTACCTGGTCATAGCAGTTTAAGGCTGTAGCTGTCCAGCGACTGTATACTATGATGATCAAGCAAGACCCCTTATATTACTCAGATCAGACTGCCCCCTCTTTCCCAGAGCATCTCCTGAACTGGTGGCTAGCCTCTCCATTATTTTACCCCTGGATCACCCATCCTGGCCCATCACCTCTCCATTTTTCAGTCCCTGGCTCTTTGCCTGTGCTAGTGATGCAACAATAAGGAGTGGTTCCTCTAAAACTTCAGGCTTAGGCGTTGCACTCTCTTGGTTCTGGCTTTGAGCCTTTCCTGGGTCAATTGTTGCATGACCTTCACTGCTGGTCCTCCAGATCTGGATGGTTTCTCATAATCGAGGTTGGAATCAGATCTGCTGACTATACCCATCAAGAAAAAACAACACAGCAACCCCTGTATATTATTATGCAAACACTTAAGAACAAGCTCTACTCCACTGAAAATACAGCTTACAACTTTGCTATCAACACTGGTGCCATATACATTGCAACATATGGTTTTGGAACACACTTGACATTTCCGGGCATTGGAATGAAAAACAGGGAGACTTTCTCAAAGCAATATTTGTAGTCCTTTCAATGGAAGTTGATAAAAGTACTATTGTTTATAAGGTACCAGTGTGGTTTCTGGTATAGCACATTCTGGAAATGTCCTTCCAGATATAGATATAGATATAGATGATATAGATATAGATATAGATATATGTGTATGTATATATATAAAGGCAGAAGAGCCCTTGGTGGCAAGGAACCACAATATTACCACCATATAAAGGCTGCTGTTTTAAACAGTTGTCACAAACAAATGTACAATGTGCCTGGAATGCGGCTGGCATTTTGCTGCTATTTTGCTTTGGGGATAAACAAAACACTCAGTGGGGCAATTTTCCAGTGTTCCTGTATCTATATACAAATGTAAGAACGTATGAAGAGTCCTGCAGAATCAGACCAAAGGGACATCTAGTCCAACGTTTTGTTCTTGCAGTAGCCAAACAGATGCCTATGGGAAGCCTCCAGGCAGGATATAAGCACAACAGCACTCTCCCCAAATGAATCTTGTGGAAGTCCCATTTCAACTTAAATAGCTGTTAAAATCCTAGAAGAAGCTTTCCTTGATGGATAAGCTGTGGCCTTCCAAATGAACAACAACCCCAACCCCCATGAGCCCTAGAGATCATGATCAAAGGTCAGGGATGATGGGAATTATAGTCTAAATATCTGGAAGTCACCAGGCTTGAGAAAGCTGTTACAGAAAATATCAGTTGTTATTTTTGGTTTTGTTTAATGTCAGTGTCAGAGATCTGAGAAGCCCGTTCTGGGACCCATCTGGATGTGGTTAAATTTTGGCCAAAATCTATTACCAAAATCGATGCAGAGATTTTCCAATAACTAAATACGGAAATTAAACATAATTGAATACCGAATAAAATTATGAAATCTCAAGTGAATATTTGGCAAATACACAAGCACTCGTATTATTGCAGTGAACAATAAGGACTGCATCCCACAGTCCTAAATGAAAAGTCAAAGAGACACTGTCAAAAATAACCAGTTTAAGCAAATTTCATTTAGGAGATAATCGTAAATGATAATCGTACAGAAACTGGTTGTAGAAAGCTTTCCACTAGTTTACCAGCTCTTACTAGGTTATTTCACACCCATGTGAATGCATGACAAATAGGTGTAACCCAGATTCATATATGAAACAGCACCACATGCCTTGCCTTCCCCATTAAACACACTGTCATGTGGTAATTCATAACTGGGCCCATCAATTTCAAGAAAGCTTCTTGGTCAATTAAAAGAATCATTGGAAGAAAAGATAAGAGCCTGCAGACTTCATGTCAACTACTGCAACAAATCCTGAGAATGCCACTTCTGCCTTTTAGCAGGGGTGAATTTGCCACACACCCTTTCTTGGGAGAAGACGTGAGTATTCCACGAATTGGTGTTTTCTGTGGGATCACATGGGCAGGAGTGCCCAATAGGAGGGGAGCCACCAGGTTGCTCTTTAAGTCTGCTCTCCCCTCTCCACCTCCTCCTCCTCTTTTGCAGCACTCTCCCCTCAGCCATCTATACTTTGGGTTTCTGTTTTTTTGCTAATCACTCTTTGCTGGGGCTGAGTAGGAATTTTCTGGGGGGAGTTCCTGATTGACTATTGGCATGACTTTTTTTTTTGCCTACTCTGCACTGTATGGTTATTCTCGATGTATGTACTTATTTGGTCTGTTTGGCATTTAGCAAGAGAAGGGAAGGGAATTTAAGAACTCAAGATGCCCCAATGCATTATGGGATTCAATGGCACCCTGGAATCACCTTCCACAGCCTTTGCTTAGGTCCCACAGTGGTTCTCAACCTGTGGGTCCGCAGATGTTGTTGGACTACAACTCCCATCATCCCTGAGCTCTGGCCTTGCTAGCTAGGGATGATGGGAATTGTAGTTCAACAACATCTGGGGACCCACAGGTTGAGGAAAGGCTGGCTTAGGAGGTTGTTGGGGTTGCACTTTAGACCTGATATGTCACCTTGGTGAATACTGGACAGCAAGGTCTGAGTGCATATGGTGGAATTACATACCCAAGGCTCACTTAGCAGGTAGGTAGAATTTTCTCCCAACCCTTCGCTGGAGAGCCATGGAATTTGGCTACTGCCATACTTAGTGGGATGGAGGGCTGCTTCCCTCATATATGTTACTTCAAACCCACCTGCCCCTACTTACATTGTTTGGTTATTGTTTCGGCAGGTGATCTGTTGTTATATGTGAATACATGGGACCTTTCCACCATGACTCCATCTCTCGATCTTTTTCCATGATGTGTTGGCAGTAAGGAAATGGTGAAGGTATTGTTGACAGAGCTCAGTTCCTTTAAAAATGCTAACATCCCCTGGCATCTTGCCCAGTTAGTCTTTCACCACTATAGTTATATAATAAGCTCAAGACTGCATGTCTATTTTTTCCGCAGCAGCTAATAACATATGAATTTCAACTCATAATTTCCCAACGCACAGCAATGCTAGAGAGCGCAGAAAAAGAACAGTGTTCAGTGGTACAGAAAATATCTTAAACATCTGTTTCTCAGCATCTTAGGTCTCCTGCAGTGTTACTGGTGAAGTAAACACACACACATTTTTGAACTCAGAAGAGTTCAGAAGTTGTCACATGGGGAACGTGCTTGCACTTTTCCCAAAGGCACACAACCCTTGCCTTCCCACTTGTATTCACACATTAAAATATCAGTTAATGGTTTATTCATGTCCAGATCCTTCCTGTCTGTATTAAGCTATGCTATAGACATAATCAGATACATTTCATATTCTGCATAGAATGGCTGTCTGCACTCATTTCAGCAATACTGGAGAAAGACTTGGGAGAATTAACCACCCTTTTAGTTTTCCTCAGTCTATATGCAACTATTGAACCTTTCTGATGATGGAAAGGACCAGTCGTTCGTTCTTTCTTTTTCTCAGTGCTTACATGAAAGTTTCGTATCGTTCAAGGTTACACTCATCTCTCTGTGTCTCTTGCTGGCAAATAGTGAAGGGCACTGATCAGGAGAGAATAAGGGAAGATATATCTTACAGAAGATTTTCAGTTACAGCATCTAAAGAGAGATCAATATTTTCTATTTGCTTTACTGCTAAACTTGTTTTTCTTCATCATCTACAGGGTACTTGCTTGTGCTTACTACTGTAGCATCAAATAGCTCTGACTTAATAAATTGCATCAAAGCAAGTCAGAAGATGATACTGTTTTGAAGGCACTGTGTCATCCAGAAGTGCATTGTTCTTTAATTGGAAAAACACTGGGGGAAAGTAACTACCTGAAACAATTTACTGGAATGTGATATTTGCCCGCTTTTGTTTAAAAGAATGGAAATGATTCAGTTTACCCTTCATGACAAAGAGGGGCTTTTAAACAGATATAAATTCTAGCACAAGAGAGTTCTAGCTCAGCCTATTATATGATTAATAGAACTAGAAACAGTTGCAAGGATTGGAATAAATGCAATTACCTGCTATTCACTATATTAGTGGAGCAGTAACCTCAGAATAAACTTTATGCTCCCTGACTGCATAATTTTCCAAAGTGTAGTGATATAGTACAGAAGACCTATGGTCTATTTCTTTGTTCTATTCCCACAGTGTATTGCAGTCTTTATTTCAGCTGCAGTATTGATTAGTCACTGGGGACAATTATTCCCATTTTAAATATCAGGGACTGAGGTTAAGAAAGAGCCACTTGCCAATGCTAGTCATCATTATGGCTGGTTTATTTACATACAGTGGTACCTTGGGTTACATACACTTCAGGTTACATACGCTTCAGGTTACGGACTCCGCTAACCCATAAATAGTGCTTCAGGTTAAGAACTTTGCTTCAGGATGAGAACAGAAATCGTGCTCCGGTGGCGCAGCAGCAGCAGGAGGCCCCATTAGCTAAAGTGGTGCTTCAGGTTAAGAACAGTTTCAGGTTAAGTACAGACCTCCAGAATGAATTAAGTACTTAACCCGAGGTACCACTGTACTGCACTTTCCACAATAATAAATATAATCGCAATAGCGCAAAACATAGCAAAACAACAACTACCACTGCAAGAGCTAACAATTCATGTAAAATATATAAAAAAATGGAACATAGCAATAGGTTACTTAACAATATCCAGCACCTGCACATCCCAAAGCAGGCCCAAAATTTAATAGCTGTAGTAGTGAGCAGGGCCCCAACCCTCTACATACTTATACCTGAAGAAGACAGTGCACTTTGATTATTCAGTTGGATTGTTAATGTTTTCTTTTACTCTTACAGTCTTCTTTCCATTAGGCTAAAGTTAAAAGTAAATATACATTATGGTACTGTAGTCTTTGCCAATCTGGTGCCAATGGCTGGCTGGGGCTGATGGGAGTTGTAGTCCCAAACATCTGGAGGGCACCAGGTTGGTGGAAGCTGCTGTATGGATATGGATTTACATTCAGTTGAGGCAACCACAAAGCATGGCACATGAGCCATGAGCTTTGTACAAGGAGTAACAAGCTAACAAGCTGATAATTGTGTGCTGTGAAGAGTCCTGTCTTGTTTAATTCACATCTTCTGAACTTGTCTAATAAAACAATTTTTTGAAAAAGATTAGCTTAATAGCATTTTTGACCTGGCAGATTTAAGGTCATCAATCTTGTAGCTTATATTTTTTTTTGTCCCAGCTAAACTCCACAATTGGTTCAAGACCTACCCTCCAAGTGTCCAGATTTTCGGGGGAACAGTCCCAAAATGACAAAAGCCATCCTGGCTTTTGCTTTGAACGCCCCTATTCCCCACCACCAGTGCTGTCGCTGAGGAGGATGTGCCAGCTCTTATCCCGAGTGGTGGTAGTGGTGAGGGAGCATCCCATTGCCTCTACATGGCCGCCACCGCTGGCCTCCTCCCTTGGATAGCTCACAGCAGCTGCTGGAATGCGGACAAGGAGGAGAAGCTATAGCTGCCTGCGTGATGCGCCAGCTCTGAAGGGCAGGCAGAGGGTAGGGCCACCCTGGGCAGGAAGAAAGGGGGACCAGAGAAGAACGTGAGAAGTCATGCTTTTTATTTAAAAAAAAAATGCTTTGTGCATCCGCTTGTGATCTTGCCACTTTCTAAAGTTTATTTGTGTGTGTTTGTCTTTTTGTAAATCTACCAAAGAATAAAATGAAATAAAATTGGTATTAAGAGGTTTTCTCAAGTCAGTGGAGGATGTTGTGCTGCTTCCCGTTGGGTGGAGTGACAGTGGCACTCCCCCCTTTTCTGATAGCAAATATTTGGGTTGTGTGTGCAAAATGGGGGCCCCAAGAGGGTCAGTTGGTGGGGAGGAGGAGGGAGAAATGTCCCCATTTTCATCTGAAGAATATTAGAGGGTATGTGAAGAGTAGCTAACAGTGAAATCCTACTCTCGTCTGCTCAGCAGTAAGTCCCACATCATAATACGGAAAATGGTCTGCAAAAATGTGTATAAATCACACTAAACTGCTGACCAATTTTCATGATGACTTTTAAATAAAAATAAAATTGCAGCCTGCTACAGAGATGTGAACTGAATTAAAGATTGAAATAATCTTTCTCACTCACAAAAATAGATTTGTCCACTCCTAAACTCATATTAGTTCTTTTGAAGTCAATGGGCTTAAGTTACTTAAGTCCTTCTATTTCACTGGGTCTTCTCTGATAAAATTTGAGTTGAGAGATCACCCATGACAGCCATTCATCTCACTCCAGACTTTTATAAAAGGAAGCTCTCTAAATATGTTGGGAAATGAACACAACACAAAAGAAGCACCACCACTACTATGCCTTGAACCCCCCAGGAAAAGGTTTCCTTCATGCTATACACGTTCCTAATACTATTGCTATCAAATTCTATTTGATTTCATATCACCGCACCATTTAGTTCAAATTACTTTCATTGCTAAAATGTATCTCTTAATGTGAAATTTTTATGGGGATTAATTTATCCCTATGGAATGTGATCAGATGAGGAATTTTTTTATGTACTTTATTAACAGATTTTTACCTGAGCTGAGCCAGTCAAGGATCCTGGTGTTTGTGTATTAAGGGTGGGCATTCAACAAAGAGGTTGAAAATGTAAGCTAGAGAAATATGGTGGCTTTTATTGTATCACACCTAAATATTGAAGGAGAGCATTGTTGCATTGCAGGCTGCCTGTTTGATCTAGTTCCACCTTCAACAATGCCTCTGGGGCTATTCAGCTTGTTCGACGGAATCAGAGAAGTGTTCACAAATTTCAGGTATGGCTGTTCTGCCAGCGTTGATTCAAGGCTGCACTTTCTTCTTTGTGCTATGAATCCTCTTTGACTCGCCACCAGGGGGTGATCCATGTCACAGCTGGCACTGTGGTAGCTCTGTGTGACATGAACACAGTTCAGTGCTGATCACCTGGTGACAGTCAAGTCCAGCTGGTGCTGGTGGTCTGATCTTGGATGTCTCCAGGACACACTCTGTTTTGCCTTGGTAGAGAAGAACATGTTTGTGATGTGTAGGCAGTGATACAAGCACAACTCAAGCATCCTTTGTCCATTCTTGTTCATTCTGCCAATGCAGTTGTCCCATGTGTGATGATCATCCTCAACTCTGGCATTGAAATCTCTCAGCAGGAATAGATGTTTGCAGGCTGGGACCCTCCTGACAGCCTAGTCTAGTTCCTTGTAGAACTGATCCTTGGTCTGCTTATCAGAACACATAGTGGGAGTGTAGATGCTCACAATATTAACCAGAACAGAGGTGGTTGGGAGGCAGAGGGAAAGCAAGAGTTCTGAGCCCTTGGTCAGCAGTTCTGTCGCAGACAGAAGAGAGTTCCTCACTGTGAAGCCAACACCGTGAATACGTGGTTCTCCTGAATGCCCTCGTTGCCAGTCGTTCTTTTCTCAGAGGATGCTATTCAAAGCGAGTCTGGTCTCCTATAGAGCAGCAATATGTTGAGTGTTTTCAACTCATAGTCAAAATAGCTGTCTTCTGTGAGTTGTTGACCTGCAGCAGGTCAGTGGACAAGCCAGGACACATGGTCCTGATGTTCCAGCTTGCTAGGTGCAAGAGGGTTTGTTTCTTTTCTTTATTGGCTGGTACAGTAGTTTGGTCTGCTTGCTGAGCGATACACGAAACATACAGGCAGGTAAACCATATTGGCTCCACCAGTGTGTTTGTACCACTCTGACTTCACTCACCCTCCACATCCCAATAAGCAGCAGTGGCGTGACTGGAGGTCAGGTGAGTGGTGATGGTGCCCCACCACAGTCCACTACCAGATATATTTAGGCACTGTAATTTTTATTATTGCCATTTTCACTATTGACGAT